TATTATTTTGCAAAAAGTTTGTCTTTTTGTATAAAAAAAAAAACCCAACCTACAAACTTCCCAAACACCAAAAGACTTAGAAAAAATACTTGCAGACTATACAGCAACTCAAATAAACGAATAATAGAGGGCAGAATTTCCAATGCACACCCTCAATTACTTTGCAAATGTGTTTGAAGTTATAGCATAATGTGTTCAAAGTTACGACTTAATCATGTTGTGATGTAATTTTAATAATTTATTGAGACATTACTCTTGATGTGATTAGTGACAAAACTTTAATCACAATGTATTGTAATAAATATCATATCGTATCATAGTGAAAAGAGTGCGCATCACACACAAACTAATTATAGATGGAGGAAAATGAATTTTTTTTTTTTTGGCTATACAGTAGGATGTTAGGGAGTTAGTAAGTTAAATTACAATAAATTTGTTTGTATATTTTAAAATGAATAATACACTAAAGAAGATTGGTCCAAATTTGTGAACCCTATATTTAGAAAGTATAATGAGTTAGTGGTGCTACGTACACCAATTATTATATTAATAATTAGTGCACCAGCATATGTTATAGTATTGCAACTTCAAAACTATAGACCCCATCCATTATACAAATTAGAAAGACTCAAAACCAATAAAATTATGTCACATCATCCCTTAGTACACTAATTGGTATACTAATTGGTGCATATAACTTTATTCATAATGACCAGTAGTGCTACATACACCAATTACTATATTAATTAGTGTACCAACACATGTTATAACATTATAATTTTAAAACTATGGACCTATTTATTATACAAATTATAAGGATTCAAAGCCAATAAAACTATGCCACATTATTCATTAATATACTAATTAGTTCGAATAATGTTGTATGTACCAATTAATATACTAACCAGTACATTAATTAATGTTGTACCAATTAATGTTGCATAATTTTAGAAGTTTTGAGTATTTGTAATTTGTATAATAGGTGGGATCAGTAAAAATAACATAACATTAGTTGGTATATTAATGTATACATTAATTGGTGCATGTAGCACCACCGAATCAGTCTAGAGGTATTACTATTCTCGACCAATCAAAATGATGTATTAATACTAAAAAAATGTGTGAACAAAATTAGATAGGTGGATGGAGAATAGTCAACAAACTGTACAACTCTTTAACACCCCATTTGTTTTCAGAGGTAGACTGAAAAGGATTGATAGTGAGGGAATTAGTAAAATTGTGTTTATTTTGATAATAGTTGGTAGTGTGGGGATTGTTAAATTATTTTTATATAAAATAAATATAAAATAATAAAACAAATTAGATTATGATTTTTACTTAACAAAAATATAAAATCATTAAACATTAATGTTCAAAAAAAATGCCTAACATGTAAAAAAAAAATTACAATTGACCAGATGACTGGCCGGATGTTCCAGCAGACGGCCGGTAACTCACTAAGCCGATGGATCATTTTTTAATACTACCTTTTCGCCCAGACTACCAATCTGCTTGCCCAAGACCTATCCTAATTCAAACAGACAGTCAATCCGGAGGACCACAAACAAAACAAATGTGAGCTAACCTCACTGTTCATCCATCATAGTCCGAAGTGGACTCCTACTCCTAAAAACAAACTGGGCTAAAGTAGATGCTATTTGGGGCCATTTCCCTAAATAAGCCAAAATACTAAATCAATTCTCAAGCTAAGCCTAGTTTTGAAAGAATTCCCAAAATAGGCTAAATCGTAGTTCACAACCACGATTTCAACATGTATGTGCTTGTCTCGCGTGAAATTTGGGAAGTCTTAAAATCGTGGTTACAAAACGCGATTTTGATTAAGAAATCGCGATTACAAAAAGCGCTTTTAATTAATTTTTTTTTTCTTCTGAAATCACTGTTCTGAACCACGCTTTTTACCAAATTTTTTTTTTCTTCTGAAAGCGTGGTTGTGAACCACGCTTTCAATACACAAATGCAATAGCTGATAAAAAAATAAAGTAAAGTGAACCAAGTGCTATTGGACCAACTGATACACAAGTGCTGTTGGATCAACGTAAAGTGAACACTCATCAACATAAATTTCTAAAAATAAAAATAAATTTCTAAAATTTTACGCTACCTTAGTGTTTAGGGAAAAAATTTATTTTTTTATTTTACTAAAATAAAAATAAATAAATTTTAAAAATTAAACCCTAAACCCTAAAATAAAAAAAATAAAATTTATCCCTAAATACTAAGGTAGCGTTTGGTAACGTTTACGTTTTTTGTTTATATTTATGAAAATTTTATAAACTGATTTTTATTTATTTTTAGAAAAACATAAACTACAAACGCGTTTGGTTTGAACAAAATGTTTAAAAAAAATTTAAAACATAAAATAAAAAATATGTTTGTTCAAGCCTAAAATATTTGTATTTATTTTTATTATTTATGATAATGGAATCACACACATTATAATTGGAAAAAAAATAATTGAAAAAAAATTTAATTGGAGAAAAAATTAATTGAAAAAAAATTAATTAAAAAATAATTGAAAAAAATTTTAATTGGGAAAAAAATATTTGAAAAAAATTAATTGAAAAAAGATTAATTGAAAAAAAAATTAATCAAAAAAAAAATAATTGAAAAAATAATTAATTAAAAAAATTAATTGAAAAAAAATTAAATTTTTTAAACATTTTGTTCAAACCAAACGCGTTTGTAATTTTTGTTTTTCTAAAAATAAACAAAAACCAGCTTATAAAATTTGTGTAAACATAAACCAAAAACATAAACGTTACCAAACGCTACCTTAGTGTTTAGGGATAAATTTTATTTTTTTTATTTTAGGGTTTATGGTTTAATTTTTAAAATTTATTTATTTTTATTTTAGTAAAATAAAAAAATAAATTTTATCCCTAAACACTAAGGTAGCGTAAAATTTTATAAATTTATTTTTATTTTTAGAAATTTATGTTGATGAATGTTCACTTTACGTTGGTCCAATAGCACTTGTGTATCAGTTGGTCCAATAGCACTTGGTTCACTTTACTTTATTTTTTATCAGCTATTGCATTTGTGTATTGAAAGCGTGGTTCACAACCACGCTTTCAGAAGAAAAAAAAAATGGTAAAAATCGTGGTTCAGAACAGCGATTTCAGAAGAAATTTTTTTTTAATAAAAGTATGGTTCAGAACAGCGATTTCAGAAGAAAAAAAAATTTAATTAAAAGCGCCTTTTATAACCGCGATTTCTTAATCAAAATCGCGTTTTGTAACTACGATTTTAAGACTTCCCAAATTTCACGCGAGACAGGCGCATACATGTTGAAATCGTGGTTGTGAACCACGATTTAGCCTATTTTAGGAATTCTTTCAAAACTAGGCTTAGTTTGGAAATTGATTTAGTATTTTGACTTATTTAGGGAAATGGCCCTCCTATTTGTCCTATACAGTCTGGTTCATTCACATTATTTAATCTTAGAGTTAGCAGTTTTTCTTAGGTGGAAAAGCTTTTGGTTGGTAAAAATGAGAGAAAAATAATGCAAATCCCAATATTATAAATCTTATTGTTAATAATAAAATTGCAATTCAAATTAACCTACTGCAATTTTACTGTTGGTAATAAAATTTTAAAAATAATGAAAGTTGATTTCAACTTTGTTCCAAATTAAGCAGAAAATTTAAATTCGTAATGTGAGGCCCACACGCTCGAATTGTTATTGGGTTTCTTCTAAGATTTTTTTTACATGTAAATCTTGTTTGGTGTATCTTATTGAGCCGTTTATAATTTGTTTATAATAAAAAAAAAAACAAGCATGTGTTAAAGTGTTTGCTGTAGGTTTTGCTTGTAGCTTATGAGATAAAATAACTTAAATAAATTAAAAAAATAATTATCTAGAAACTAAAAAGATAGTATTTTTATTTTTTTATTTTCTAATTATCAACTTTTCAATTAAAAAAAAAAAAAAAACATCATAAACATTAGTTGAGACTGGCTATTCAAATAGCCTAATGGCCTTTTTATGCATAATTTCAAGTGTGGATGGACTTTCCAGACAAAGAAAGAAGTCAGTTGAGCAAGGCAACCCAAACACCCAACCTAATATATATATATATATATATATATATATGTATGTATATATAAACTAGTCTGTTTATTCATATAATTGTTTTAGTCAATACCTGCTAAATTCACATGATGATGAGGGCATTCAATCCAACACATTAATTAAGGTTCTAATATATCAATGAAGGTTCTAACATTTTGGTAAAAAAAAAAAAAATCCAACACATTAATTATATATATAGTAATCATCATAATTTGAATAATTTAACTTACATATTTTGAACACCCAACTCAGCTACTCCAAACTTTGCACACCCACCTTATAACAGAAAAGGGTCCATGATTAGTTAAAAGTGATTATTAATATTCAATCAATTTAATTTTTTACATAAATAATCTTCTCAGCAAACTTTATAATATAAATGGTTTAAATTATTAAAGAGGGTGTGAGGTGGAGCCACCTAAGGGGCACAACACGAACTCTTTCTTTCTTATAATCCATTCACATTATTTTTTAATTTTGAATAAAGTACTCTAGTAAAAATAAAAAAAAAAATAAAAAAAAATTAAAAAAAAGTGTCCATAAAATGAAGTGTATGATATATGATGCGATACTTTAAATATAATATCTAAACTCTTTTGATAAATATAACTTATGCTAAATTAGAACACAAAATTAAAAATAAAATAAAATAATTTCAGGCTATGAGGATGTTGATGTCTTCTTCGTAAGGTGTCCTTGGTAATTGATATAAAAATGGACACATGACACACAAAAACGAAATGACTTTTTTATTTTTTTTATTTTAAATATAGCACTTTTTTTATTTTTTATTTTTAAATATAGCACACTACATGAGAACACATGTGAAATATATAATTATATATATTGATTATATAACATATAAATATAAATAATTATTACATAATATACATATAAATATTTAATTTAATCAAATCTTATTTCTACCATTGAATCAAATGAATTAAACAACAATATCGGTTGTGGTGTTCATTTTTCAGACTGCACATATACACTAATACAACCTATTTTAAATATATAGAAGTAACATTTGACTGTAATTTAACCTTTCCAATACTGATACTAATGCCCAACATGTCTAACATTCTTCAGAAGTCTCTTCTTTTGTCTTGAGAAAGCAATGGAGAGCCAAGCTTTCTTCATCTTCTTCTTCTCCTCCTTTGCTTCACTACTTTCCTCAACCTTCTTGAAATTCTCCATTGCAGGTGATACCTTAGCTTCAAACCAATCCCTCCGGGATGGCGACACTTTAGTTTCCACCAGCCAAAGATTTGAGCTCGGCTTCTTCTCTCCCGGCAGCTCCAAATTCCGGTACTTGGGAATATGGTACAAAGCCACCCCAGATATAGTTGTGTGGGTCGCCAATCGACACAATCCAATAACAGGTTTACAAGGAGTCTTGACTATCAGTGGTAATAGATCACTGGTTCTTCTCAATGGAACACAGAGCATTGTCTGGTCATCTAACCTATCAAGAGTCGAAGAAAGTCCAGTGGCACAGCTCTTAGATTCTGGAAATCTTGTTCTGTTTGGCAAGACAGAAACATATTCAGATAGTTTCCTATGGCAGAGCTTTGATTTCCCGTGCAATATGCGGATACCTGACCTGAAGATGGGAGAGAACAACAGAACAAGTCTAGATCAGTACTTGACATCATGGAAAAGCGCTGACGATCCATCTCCGGGAGAGTTTACTTACAGAGTTGATAATCATGGGTTGCCTCAACTAGTACTTAGAATGGGATCAATAAAAAAGTACCGGACCTGGGTAAAACTCACATTCATTAATCTTCCCTTGTACAACAATCCGGCATTTAAAACAACGTTGGAGTTCAACAACAATAGATTGATATATATCTATGAACCATACAACAGCTCTGTCTTTACAAGATTAACACTAAACGAGTCGGGGGTGCTTCAACGCTATATACTGAACAAAAAGAACACTTGGGATCTTATGTTCACGGTTCCACGTGATCTGTGTGACAGTTATGGATATTGTGGTCCTAATGGTATTTGCAGAATCTACAAATCACCGTTGTGCGAGTGTTTGAAGGGGTTCATTCCAAATTCCCAACAAGAATGGGATGTTCTTGATTGGTCCAGTGGATGCGTAAGAAGTGTGCCATTAGATTGCCAGAATGGAGAAGGGTTTGTGAAGGTTGTACAGGTCAAGTTGCCTGACCTGTTGGAGTTTCGGTTAAACATAGGTATGAGCATCAAGGAATGTGAGGAGGAGTGTTTGAAGAACTGTTCTTGTATAGCTTATGCTAATTCAAACATTAGTGGAGGTGGCAGTGGTTGTTTGATGTGGTTTGGGGATCTGATTGATATCCGGGAGAGCTTCCAAGACAATAGTGAGCAAGATATCTACATACGCTTGCCAGCTTCAGCAATAGGTTAGTACATGGCTATGATCTACCAGGTTTCTCTAAACCTTCTAAACTCCTCAATACTTCAGCCCTTTGTTACTTGGAACGTGAATCATTTTGGTATTCTCTGTTTCAGAATTTACCTAGTACTTCAGTTCTTCATATTCTCTGTTTCAGATTCAATTCATGATTCAAATAATAAGAAAAGACTTGTGAAGATCCTACTGCTATCAGCAACTTTAGGAATACTTACCTTGGGCACAGTATGTGGCTGCATAATAATGAAGGTAAAAGCAAAGAGAAGAGGTAAGCATTCCTTTTCCACTAAATATGCTTCTAATAATCGTTTCTGAGTTAAATCATAGATCCCAAGCATTAAACTATTACATAAAAATCATGTATAAAGCATTTCCCCCAAAAAAAGGTTAACCCGACTAGCCCTGTTACCAGCTCTAAACGGGAAGAAAGAAAGCTTGGAATTACCTTTATTTGATTTCACAACTATTGCTGCTGCTACAAGCAACTTCTCCGATGCAAATATGATTGGAGAAGGTGGCTTTGGTCCTGTTTATAAGGTAAGATATGTTCAGTCGTGTAGTTAAGAATAGATCATATTGTATTGTTGTGCACCTTATATATGACACCTACAGGGCAAATTGTCCACAGAACAAGAAATAGCAGTGAAAAGGCTGTCAAAAGGTTCGGGACAAGGTCTAGAAGAGTTCAAGAATGAAGTTACCTCAATTGCCAAACTTCAACATAGGAACCTTGTCAGGCTTCTTGGATGCTGCATTCAAGGAGAAGAAAGGATGCTGATCTATGAGTACATGTGCAACAAAAGTTTAAATTATTTTATTTATGGTTTGTGCCTCTAACCCTTCATATTTTGGATTTGTTTGGTCACCTGCATATCACTTTCCTACATGGTCACTAATGCATCTTAAAATTTACAAAGGGTCAACATGATGTGCAGACCAGAATAGAAGTACATTACTGGCTTGGCAAAAGAGGTTTGACATTGTTATGGGGATTGCACGGGGACTTCTATATCTCCACCAAGATTCTAGATTAAGAATAATTCACAGGGATCTCAAAGCAAGCAATATTCTGCTAGATAATGATCTGATTCCAAAAATTTCAGATTTTGGCTTGGCAAGAATTTTTGAAGGAGAACAAATTTGTGCAAAAACAAAAAGAGTCATTGGAACATAGTAAGTTCTATTTACTTAAAATTAAATCAAAATTTTCTATCATTCAAAAGACTTTATGGTTGCAAATTCTTGCAGTGGCTATATGTCTCCAGAGTACGCAATTGACGGGAAATTCTCTGTGAAATCTGATGTATTCAGTTTGGGTGTGCTTTTGCTAGAAATAGTGAGTGGCAAAAGGAACAGAGGTTTTCATCATCCTGATCACCACCACAATCTTCTAGGGCATGTAAGTATTAGAAACAATAAAATAGTTATCTCTCTCTATAGATATATCTGTGTATATCAATCTATCTATCCCTGTGGCTATCTAACTTGATGCATATCTACTGTTTCTTGAGGACGACAAAATATATGTTCTGTGAAGAAAATAAATAAACTAAGTGCATGGTTTGCAATTACTTTAGGCATGGTTGCTGTGGAATGAAGACAGGGCTTTGGAACTAATGGATGCATGTTTGAAGGATTCATGTGTGGAATCTCAAGTACAGAGATGTATTCAAGTGGGCCTATTATGTGTTCAGAAACTCCCACAAGACAGGCCGGCAATGTCATCTGTAGTGTTCATGTTGGGAAATGAGGAAGCAATATTGCCTCAGCCTAAACAACCTGGTTTCTTCATTGAAAGAAGTTCCATTGATGCAGATACTGCAACAAGAAGTGAAGAATTTTATAGGAATGGTGAAGTACCCATAACAATATTGGATGCTAGATAGAGTATTCATCACAGTTGTTAATATGATTTTAGAAATAGATGTTATTTCAACTTCAGTATTTTTGTAGACTTCATTTTATTTCTTAAAACCACGGAGCTCAAAAGTCTTAAATTTTCTATTTATTTATAATTTGGTTTCAAATATCAAAGCACTCTCCTCTACAATAAGCTGCAGTAAGTCCCATGGACTTTCGGCAAGTAAATTAAACATCAAAACATGATATGAGAAGCATCTAGATTTTCTGATGAGCCTAATTTATAACGTGACTGCGTCAATAACTAAAATGTAGGGCAAAGACTGATCAAGTATTGGCTCAGCACAAGCATTTCCAGTACCCAACTTTACATAAAGACTGTTCCATGGCCAAAAACATTGTGATTGGTTTTTGGCATGGTTTCAGTTCTTAAGTCTTGTAAAGTGGGCCAAAATCAAATCTAGACAAGCTTGTCAAGACAGCTCTTCTAGAAAATTCAAGGATAGTGTTCTACTAGTTCAAAAATGAAATTTTTAGGGAGGAAGATCCCCCTAGTATCATCAGATTAAAAAAGATTCCACTTCAACCAACCTCGAACAATCTTCATAGAAATTAATCAAGTTGCTACTAAAGCAACATAAATCATAGCTCAAATCACCTGAACAAAGGCTTGATTCCAATTATTTGGGGTTTATAACTACATAAAACAAAAATGACAAAAAAAGATCAGGAGAATAAAGAATTTCTTATAACTATATACCAAAACTAAGTAATATTTCAGTTTGAAATTAGTGGTATACCAATGTCACTTCCATCAGATGTGAATAAGTGGTTATGCTTCTGTAGTTAAAAACATCTTGACAAGTCACACTAATTTCCATTGCATACAAATATAAATACATATTCACAGTGATTTCTTGAACATCAATTTTATACCATGATATTTTTACAAACATCAATTGTGCAAAAGACAACTAAATATTTGATGACAATGCAGAGCTACAGGAATGAGGCTAATTAGCAATATCAACAGGTTTCCAGAAATTAAAATGGTCGAGAGAGAGAGTAGACAACATATGTATGTATATGTGCGCGCACACACACACATACACAAATGTCAACACACATACATAAGCACATTATGAGAAATTATATTTGAGAGTTCAAGAAAAGGATGGCAAACCGTAATTGCAGAATCAAAGCATTCACTTCTGCAATTTGCAGTCTGTGCGGAATCAAAGCGTCCAGTTCTGCAATTTGCAGTCTGTGAGGAATCAAAGCGTCCACTTCTGCAATTTCCAGTCTGTTTGGTCAATCTACATTTTTCCTTTTAGTTTGGTTACCAAGAAACTAGCAAGAAAAGGAGAGTGGAAACCTTTCATCGGCTGGCCCAATGAATCCAACAAACGGTGTTGTGTCAACTGTGTTGCCAATGCAGGAACAGCATCCTGTTTTGGGTTGGGCATTAATATTTTGAGGAGAAAATTGTTTTCGTTTTTTTTTTTTTTTTTTTTTTTTTTTTTTGTAACCAAACCAAACCAAACCAAGCCTTAAGTCTCATCAAATGGGATCGGTTATATAAATCCTTCTCTACTCGACTCTATCAAAGGCCATTTGGTTAGTCAAATTAAGGAGATTCATATATCTATTTACTACACTAACCCATATCAATCTAAGTTTGCTTCTTCCCCTAACACTTCCCTCTACCGTCTTTGTATCACATATCTTCATTACTGACTCTGTTGGTCTCTGTTGTATATGACCAAACCATCTCTCTTAGCTTACCTTCTATCATTCTTAACTATGTCTTTTCTAGTCTTGCCACACATCTACCTTAATATCTTCATTTCAGTAACACTCATCTTATCTAAATGTTGCTTTTTAGTTGCCCAACTTTAGATTTTTTTTTTTTTCTTTCTGTAATTTCAGAAATAAAAATAATGAAAATTTCATAATTGCCTATGATTTTTATTTTTTGCACAAACAAAGTTCCAAAAATTTTAGAAAATATCTTTTATATGTATCACACAAAATTTTATTAATTATGATGATAATCAATGAAGTTTTGCAAGCCCAAGTAAACAAGAAACAATGACTAATCATAGCATCCACCTTGTAGATGGGTATAAAATCTAACTAAATCCACCTAAACTCCAATGATTACAGGACTTTCCAAACTGATCCCAGATGTAATTCAAGTGAAAATTACAAAAAAGGGGAACTGGTTTATACAACTTAAACTGTCTTTGAATGCAGTAAAGATTTTCATTTTATTTAGTAGGTTTCGGGGCAAATAGTTTACATCAACACAATGTATGTTTCTATCGAGCATTTAATAGAGTAATGGTGATTTCATTGGCCGAAACTGTTGCATTCTTGCTTGACGAACAACCAGCCTCATGAACATTCCTTTCAGTAAAGAAGCCAGGCTGTTTGACTTGAGGCAATGCACCTTCACTATCTAACATCAGAACCACAGATGACATGCTTGGCCTATCCTCTGGACATTATTGCACACATAAAAGACCCACATGGATTGATCGCAACACTTCATTTAGGTAGCATGAGTCCCATAGAGCCTCATCAGTCAATTCCAACGACCTACCTTCTTTATAGAGTCTCCATACCTGAACAATCCATTACAATATTAATAGTACTTATTGGAAAACATACATATGCAAAAATAGCTTTAAGCTTCGTACACTTACATGCCCAAGCAGGTTGAGGCGGTGACTTGGATGATAGAAACCTCTGTTTCTCTTCCCACTCACAATCTCCAACACCAAAACACCAAAGCTGAATACATCAGATTTTACTGAAAATAGTCCATCCACTGCATACTCTGGAGCTATGTAGCCACTGCAGAGAAATGCTGAATGAAGAACCAAATTTTGAAGCAATATAAGTGAATTAGACTAAACATGTTATGGAGATTCTTACCGTGTTCCAACCACTATGTTTGTATTTGCTTGTGTCTCATTTCCTCCTAAACTTCTAGCCACTCCGAAGTCAGATATTTTTGGGTTCATGTCAATATCCAACAAAATATTACTAGCTTTGAGATCTCTATGAATAATTCTCAGTGTGGAATCTTGATGAAGATATAAAAGTTCCCGAGCAATCCCATTAATAATGTGGAAGCCCTTCGACCACTCTAGTAATGAGCTTCGGGTTCGATCTGGATTTTTTTGGGTCTAATTTAGTCCTTGCTCTTGCTAATTACATGCATGAATTTTTTTAAAAATCCCAATTTGATTTTAAAAAAAATCCCAGTTCATGCAAATGCACATGTAATAACAACCACATATAATTTTGGTCCCATAAAAGAGAAAGAAAGAAAGAAAGAAAGAAAGATTGTTGGTTGGTCCAAGGGTGGAAGAGATGTGCTATACCAAAAATTGAAGTATTATAGTTTCAAGAAAGCCATACCAAAAATAAAGAAGTCCAGACTTTTGTTGGGCATGTATTCATAGATCAGCATCTTTTCTTCTCCTTGAATGCAACATCCTAGAAGCTTCACGAGATTTCGGTGCTGGAGTTTAGCAATACAAATGACTTCATTCTTAAACTCATTAAGTCCTTGGCTAGAATTCTTTGAGAGCCGCTTCACAGCTATTTCTTGTCCTCCTTTCAATATACCCTAGGAATTACCAATATAATTTATAGAATGTTCTTCCCTTAGAGCTGAAAAGGACCCACTTTTTTTCCCATTCTTATTATTTATATCTTTTACTTTTTTGTGTGTCTCGCTGGCTGACATTGGTACAACAGGAACAGTCATGACCAGTGATTTATTACTTCAAAGACATAATTACACAGATTTATAAAGTTTCATATGTGAGAAAAGATGCATAAAGCCAATTGTAAACTTTGAAAATTGAAGGAAAAATGTACTATGTGATGCCAAATAACACCTAGGTTGTGTGATAAGGAAAGGGCAGATAATGTATTACTTTGCATGAGTGAGTGTGAACAGGTGGAGGGGAATTACAAAGTTAGAACTTCTCTACAAGATTTTAAAGGTCAGTCTCAATAATTTTTCACATATAAATATATAAATTAGAATAAACAATCATTTTTCCATATTTTTCATATAGAATACTTAACTAGATAATGACATTTTTGAAATAAATGCTCATCTATAGGCATTTTGATTTGAATTTTCAACAACCACATCATTTGTATAGCTTTTGAATATAATTTTTATGCATTTATGCCATTACTCAAAAATAAATAAATAAATAAATAAATAAATAATAGAAACAAGAAACGAGTACCAACCTATAACTGAATAGTCATTCAAAAAAGCAAAAAAAATGAAAGAGTACCCATCTAAATAAGCTTGTTGATGAGCCCATTTCCTTCTTTTGAATAATGATGGTGTTAGTTTGTTAAGAACAATACCTACTCAATTTCTTTTTCTTTTCCTTTTTTTACAAGAACCTGTACCGGTATTTAATTATCTTATTTTATAGAGAGAAGCAATTAATTATTTACCCTTCTTATCTTATGCTACAATATTTAGAAGAGGGATTACTATTTCCCTTATTTGTGACATATAAGCCGTTTAGAATCAGTAGCATGATAAGGTAGAATAGATTCTGAAGGAGTACAACAATTTTAGGTTTATTTAGGCTTCATTTATGAGTGAATTTGAAATGAAAAATAATTAAGGTTAAAATTTATAAAATCGTAGGCAAGTTAATTATTGGACGTAGATGATAATTATAAAGTGTAGGATTGAATAAAAGATAACTTGGAAGAACTAAAAAGAAAGAAAGAACTCACTAGAAAGCAAGCTACTTTCAAAACCTTGAATTAATACCTGGTCCGAACCGGATAGAAAATTCCTTACTAATTTTATTAAGATCCTTGCTTGAGTAAAATAAAATAGAAGGATTTCAAATAACTATATTCAGTATCAAGTTGTTATAGATTGCACAAGTGTGTCTTTACATTGTTACCTTGTAAACGGGTCCAAATCCACCCTCTCCAAGCTTGTTATCGATTGAAAAGTTATTCGTGGAATTAGCTATTACAGCTAAGTCAAACAATGGTAACTCCAGATCTTCCTTCTGGCTTTTGTCATTGTAACCTTGTTCAGAGTTGTGCATCAGATTTCCTGTAATGCAGGGACGAAGTGGATGTAAATGAGATGAGTAGATCTAACAAAGTAATATACCATTACCGGGAAGAACACATCAACACATAATACAGAATATATATATATATATATATATTTGTGTGCATATCTTTTCTTTTTTCCTTCTAAATTAAGTTTACCACATAATAACTCATCTCACATACCTTCTCTGTTCAGCTGTAAATTCTTCTTCTTTTTTCGGAGATACAAGGTTATGCTGATACCCAGCAGAAGAAGTCCAAATAATAATGCCAAGATCACTCCAACTATCTCTTTTTTCTTGCCACTGAAGCCAACTTGTTGAATCCTCAATTAATGGTTAATTCATTCAGGTAATACAACCATGAGAGTACAAACATATGTATAATGTCAATTGCTATACATATAATTAGAAAATAAGTAACAAAATACATTCAACCGAGGCTAGTAACATAATGAGGTCAAGCCAGGCCTTTGAAGATTCTGTGATGCAGTCACTTTTAACCATGATTGGTATTAAGGGAAGCCGCATTTGAAGGAGAAACCTCCCCTTAATTTATGAACATTACTATACACTCAGTAGAAGAGGTTATCAATTTTTCAAAGATCTAGGGCCTCTGCAAGTGGCCAAGCTGTAGTTGCTGCCTCTTGATTTTACAGCTGCTTTGTTGGAAAGTTTGCAAGCCTGGTTTACTTCAATTTATACCCTTCACAGTTAAACTGAAGGAACAGTTTAGGAATAGAACTTTATCTCTGCTTCTGATTCTAGATTTTCCCCTATGAAGTCTTCTCCCAACTGCAGCTGAGTGCATTTTATATGGGTGGTGTCATGGTATGGTGGTGTGTGTAGTGGCAAAAAATAACATGTGGGGCAGAAAATTCAGTGCAGTCATGTGTTCTAATGGTATGCGATGGTATGGTGGTGTGTGTAGTGGCAAAAAATAACATGTGGGGCAGAAAATTCAGTGCAGTCATGTGTTCTAATGGTATGCGATCGTGTGGTTACTTTGTGATGTAACTTGAAAAAATCACAGAAATACAACAATTTGCAGTCTATTTATTTCACTAAAACACAAATTTTAGATACAATAGATAATAACTTCAGGGATGAAGAGACACAAGAGGGGACAAACCGAAGAAGTCCACTAGGGGCCTTGAATTCACAAGGAGAATAGAGAGGAGAAAGAAAAAGGGGGAAACCCTAGAGTCCACCAAGGGGCTTGAACCCACAAGCACAAGGGGAAAGAAGGGGGAAGGATACATGGAGCCACAACTCTAATAAACCCAAGGGTTACTCACATGTTGACCCTGTCTGAACTGACCAAATTGAGCCATATTTATAAAGTCTTCAAAACCTTAAAATGCAAAATTACCAAAATAATCCTCGCACAAAAAATACAATAACAAATAAGGCCATTATAATTTTCCCAATAGACCACATCACATCACTGCCTCTACTTTTCCTTATTAACGGTCACATGCCTCGCTATTATTAGATGGGCACATGGCCAAGTGGTGTTCCTAGTGCACCAAATAACTGCTCGTGTAGTGGGGATTGCAATAGAGAGTCTTCATATATTCTGTATATGTGGCAGCCAAAAGCTCTGGCACGTGGCAGTGAAGGTAGTGCCTGAAAGGTGCATGAACCTATTTTGGGATAGAATTGATGATGCATTGCATGATTCACAATTCGATTCACATTTTACGATTCATGCGATTCTTAAAACTATCGGATTTGATAGATTCCGACCCCTTCTTACCTCTTTTGACAAAAATGAAACTTAAAAGATTAAAATGACATAAAATGCATACTAAAAGAACCATACATATATTTTGTCCTAAAATATAATCCAATTTTATAAGCATCATCATTTGTATGCCTGTAAAATCACTAATGTATGTGTTTGGCAGTCAAAGAGAGCATCAATTAGTTATAATGTAAAACCACTAATCTATGTGTTTGGTATGAATTCTTACCCAACTTGGAGGAAGCCATCCTTATGTAAATGTCTTGCCCATTTTCATTGAACTCTCTCATGTCAATCAATTCATCAAACCAAAGCAAGCAGCCACTTCCACCTCCTCTTATGTCTAAATTTGTGTAAGCTGTACAAGAGCAGTTTTTCAAGCATACCATCTTGCATTCCGTTAAGGTCATGCTCTTGTTAAACCAGGAATATCTTGTGTCTGGCATTTTATAATGTGAAAACTTGAGAAATCCATCTCCGTTATGGCAATCCAAAGGTGTCCTCCGAACACACCCATCAGACCAGTCTCCATTTTCCCATTCCTTTGGATATTTGGGCACAAAGTTACTCAAAGAACCGCATACTGGTATGTTTTCAACGTTACAGCTGAAAGGTGCATGAACATATTTTGGGATAGAATTGATGATGAATTGCATGATTCACGATTCGATTCACATTTTACGATTCATGCGATTCTTAAAACTATCGGGTTTGATAGATCCCTCGTCATAATCAGCGAAGTGGCAATCTTGAAAGCATTAACATCACAAACTTCTCTGAAAGGCACAATTCGGGTTGGATTCGCATCTAATAAACTCATAGCCTCACTGAAATAAAAGGTGCGAAAACAAATACAACTGAAATGAGTTTTGTCAAACGGGGTTGCCAAAAATAAAAACCTAACAATTTAGGCTTTATTTATGAGTGAATTTGAAATGAAAAATAATTAAGGTTAAAATTTATAAAATCATAGGCAAGTTAATTATTGGACGTAGATGATAATTATAAAGTGTAGGATTGAATAAAAGATAACTTGGAAGAACTAAAAAGAAAGAAAGAACTCACTAGAAAGCAAGCTACTTTCAAAACCTTGAATTAATACCTGGTCCAAACCGGATAGAAAATTCCTTACTAATTTTATTAAGATCCTTGTTTGAGTAGAATAAAATAGAAGGATTTCAAATAACTATATTCAGTATCAAGTTGTTATAGATTGCACAAGTGTGTCTTTACATTGTTACCTTGTAAACGGGTCCAAATCCACCCTCTCCAAGCTTGTTATCGATTGAAAAGTTATTCGTGGAATTAGCTATTACAGCTAAGTCAAACAATGGTAACTCCAGATCTTCCTTCTGGCTTTTGTCATTGTAACCTTGTTCAGAGTTGTGCATCAGATTTCCTGTAATGCAGGGACGAAGTGGATGTAAATGAGATGAGTAGATCTAACAAAGTAATATACCATTACCGGGAAGAACACATCAACACATAATACAGAATATATATATATATATATATATTTGTGTGCATATCTTTTCTTTTTTCCTTCTAAATTAAGTTTACCACATAATAACTCATCTCACATACCTTCTCTGTTCAGCTGTAAATTCTTCTTCTTTTTTCGGAGATACAAGGTTATGCTGATACCCAGCAGAAGAAGTCGAAATAATAATGCCAAGATCACTCCAACTATCTCTTTTTTCTTGCCACTGAAGCCAACTTGTTGAACTGTTGAATCCTCAATTAAAGTAATGGTTAATTCATTCAGGTAATACAACCATGAGAGTACAAACATATGTATAATGTCAATTGCTATACATATAATTAGAAAATAAGTAACAAAATACATTCAACCAAGGCTAGTAACATAATGAGGTCAAGCCAGGCCTTTGTAGATTCTGTGATGCAGTCACTTTTAACCATGATTGGTATTAAGGGAAGCCGCATTTGAAGGAGAAACCTGCCCTTAATTTATGAACATTACTATACACTCAGTAGAAGAGGTTATCAATTTTTCAAAGATCTAGGGGCTCTGCAAGTGGCCAAGCTGTAGTTGCTGCCTCTTGATTTTACAGCTGCTTTGTTGGAAAGTTTGCAAGCCGGGTTTACTTCAATTTTTCACAGTTAAACTGAAGGTAGAGTTTAGGAATAGAACTTTATCTCTGCTTCTGATTCTAGATTTTCCCCTGTGAAGTCTTCTCCCAACTGCAGCTGAGTGCATTTTATATGGGTGGTGTCATGGTATGGTGGTGTGTGTAGCGGCAAAAAAAAACATGTGGGGCAGAAAATTCAGTGCAGTCATGTGTTCTAATGGTATGCGATCGTGTGGTTACTATGTGATGTAACTTGAAAAAATCACAGAAAGACAACAATTTGCAGTCTATTTATTTCACTAAAACACAAATTTTAGATACAATAGATAATAACTTCAGGGATGAAGAGACACAAGAGAGGACAAACCAAAGAAGTCCACTAGGGGCCTTGAATTCACAAGGAGAATAGAGAGGAGAAAGAAAAAGGGGGACACCCTAGAGTGCACCAGGGGCTTGAACCCACAAGCACAAAGGGAAAGAAGGGGGAAGGATACATGGAGCCACAACTCTAATAAACCCAAGGGTTACTCACATGCTGACCCTGTCTGAACTGACCAAATTGAGCCATATTTATAAAGTCTTCAAAACCTTAAAATGCAAAATTACCAAAATAATCCTCGCACAAAGAGCCATATTTATAAAGTCTTCAAACCCTTAAAATGCAAAATTACCAAAATAATCCTCACACAAAAAATACAATAACAAATAAGGCCATCATAATTTTCCCAATGGACCACATCACATCACTGCCTCTACTTTTCCTTAATAACGGTTGCATGCCTCGCTATTATTAGATGGGCACATGGCCAAGTGGTGTTCCTAGTGCACCAAATAACTGCTCGTGTAGTGGGGATTGCAATAGAGAGTCTTGATATATTCTGTATATGTGGCAGCCAAAAGCTCTGGCACTTGGCAGTGAAGGTAGTGCCTGAAAGGTGCATGAACCTATTTTGGGATAGAATTGATGATGAATTGCATGATTCACGATTCGATTCACATTTTACGATTCATGTGATTCTTAAAACTATCGGATTTGATAGATTCCGACCCCATCTTACCTCTTTTGACAAAAATGAAACTTAAAAGATTAAAATGACATAAAATGCATACTAAAAGAACCATACATATATTTTGTCGTAAAATATAATCCAATTTTATAAGCATCATCATTTGTATGCCTGTAAAATCACTAATGTATGTGTTTGGCAGTCAAAGAGAGCATCAATTAGTTATAATGTAAAACCACTAATCTATGTGTTTGGTAGGAATTCTTACCCAACTCGGAGGAAGCCATCCTTATGTAAATGTCTTGCCCATTTTCATTGAACTCTCTCATGTCAATCAATTAATCAAACCAAAGCAAGCAGCCACTTCCACCTCCTCTTATGTCTAAATTTGTGTAAGCTGTACAAGAGCAGTTTTTCAAGCATACCATCTTGCATTCCGTTAAGGTCATGCTCTTGTTAAACCAGGAATATCTTGTGTCTGGCATTTTATAATGTGAAAACTTGAGAAATCCATCTCCGTTATGGCAATCCAAAGGTGTCCTCCGAACACACCCATCAGACCAGTCTCCATTTTCCCATTCCTTCGGATATTTGGGCACAAAGTTACTCAAACAACCGCATACTGGTATGCTTTCAATGTTACAGCTACCATATGGACCACACCGTTTATAATAATCACAATTATCTGTCGGTGTAGTCAGGTAAAGGACCCATTCCTGGGTTCGATCAATCCATGTCAAGCGCTGCATAATGCCATTATGACTCAGAGAAAACCTTGAAACAACTGAGTTGTTAATGAGTTCATAACCATAAAACACCTCCTCCTTGGTGAAAACCAATCCATATGTGTAGATGGAATTTGGTTTAAGGTTTGGTCTTCCACTGAATCCAAGACCATTCCATGGCCCAGTTCGGTACAGCTCAATGGAACCATTGCTCAGAATAAGTTGCGGATATCCTTGGGGATCACACCGAAATGCAAAATCACCTTGACCTGGATCGTCAGAGCTCTTCCATGATGAAAGGTGCCTCTCTAGGCCACTTACAAAGTTTTTTCCAAGTTTCATGCCTGGTATAAGAGTATCACATGGATGATCAAAACTTTGCCAGAGAAAATGCTCTGGGTTGTCATCATTGGCATCTCTCACAACAAGATTTCCTGACTCTAAAAGTTGACCAATAGGATCCTTTACTGTGGATCTTGTCACATTGGCAGACCAAATGACACAGCTGGTACCATTGAGAAGGGCCAGAATTCCAGGGTCGATTACCTTCAAGACACCTGATGAAACGATGAGTGGGATTTCTCTGTTGGCAACCCATACAACAGTCCTAGAAGATATTTTCTTGTACCATATTCCCAAGTATTGATTCTGGGAATTGCCCGGGCTGAAAAATCCCATCTCAAAGCTCCCATCAATTGAAACTATGGTCTGGCTGCCTGTAATGAACTGGGTTTTAGTCATTATGTCTACTGCACTGGACATTATTAAGATGGAAAATAAAGAGGCAAACAGAAAAGAAAGTTTGAGGCCTTCCATTGATGGTCTAATGTCCAATTCACGGAATTCATCTGTTTTTCCATTATTTATTCCATTTATAAATGAACACTCAGGAACTCTTGCAGCACAGTGATTCCTCAGTTGGAGTTGGAGTCAATAAAGAAGACATGGAATTCCATGGCCAGTCAATGCTAATTCCACAGACATTATTTGGAGTCAGTCTTCCTTTCCCCTCACTGGGTCATTCATTGCAATAAGTCTTCCTTCCCCCTTCGTTGGGGGCATTATTTAGAAAAGCATTAGAAATGCATACTGTCTAAATTCTAAAAGTACCTTTCAGTGGGAACTTGGAACAACCAGATATTGGGAATCTTTGATAATAAAATTCATGGACCAACATAATTTTGTCCCCTTCTTTTGGTTGTCCATTTTTTATTGGGTAAATGCCCTGATGTCTTCTCTGATGGGGTATGACAAAGCTGTTATCACTGAAACTGAAGAAGTTTCAAACACATCTGTTTGTTAGGAGAAAACAAATTTAGGGAATGATGAGACTATCATTCCGTTTTTATATTGATAATATGCAGCTCACAACAGAAGCCTTGAGGCACAAATACGGAAAAATACATAACAAGAAAATAATAGCTAATGATAGCTAAATAGAATAAGCAATACATAATACCTAAGATATTATTCTAAGGGGGAATTACATCCCAATGGGAGGAAAAAAAAAAAAATTACACAAACATGGAAGTGTGCAAGTCACAATTGTACCCCATCACAAAGCCACTTGCACCCTACTTGCACCCCACTGTTTTGAAATTCTCCCTTATTCTAACACTCACCCTCAAGCTGGTGCGAAGATATCTTGATAATTTTAGAGAATACCAAGATTAGGAAATGATTGTGATATCATCCCCTTTACATATTAATGAAGATTAATAATTACAAAGGTGCCCAAGGTCATAGAATAATTACAATTGAACAATAACCCAACTAATAATTAACTATTCTAACACTTCCCCTCAAGCGGGTGCAAAGATATCTCTCACGCCCAGCTTGCCAAGGATGTCATACAATGGCTTACTCCCAACTCCATTGGTGAGGATGTCAGCGAGTTGTTCACCAGACTGCACAAATGTAGTACATATTGTGTCACTAGTGAGTTTCTCCTCAATGAAGCGGCGATCAATGTCAACATGCTTTGTCCTGTCATGTTGAACCGGATTGTGAGCGATGTTGATGGCGGCCTTATTATTATAGTACAACCGCATGGAGTCCATCTGATCAATACCTAGATCACTTAATAATAACTTGATCCATAAGAGCTTACACACCCTTTGTGCCATAGCTCTAAACTCAGCTTCTGCACTCGACCTGGCAACTATTTTCTGTTTCTTACTTCTCCAAGTAACTAGGTTGCCGCCAACAAAGGTGCAATACCCTGAAGTCAATTTCCTATCAGTTACTGATCCAGCCCAGTCAGTATCTGTATAGGCTTCCATACGAAGATGATCATGCTTTGAAAAATAAAGACCCTTACTAGCAACAGACTTCAAGTACCTCAAAATTCTTATGATAGCCTCGAAGTGAATCTGATGAGGAGCATGCATAAATTAGCTAACCACACTGATAGCAACAACAATATCAGAACGGGAGTGAGATAGGTAGATAAGCTTACCCACTAATCGCTGATAGCTCCCCCTATCAACAGCTGCTCCTCCTTCATCATCCCCCAGTTTTTGATTGGGTTCCAGTGGAGTGTCACAAGCCTTGCAGCCAAGCATCTCAGTTTCCTTCAACAAGTCAAGCACATACTTCCTCTGTGAGATAAATATCTCATCCTTTGAGCGAGCAACTTCAATTCCTAGAAAATACTTCAAGCTCCCCAAGTCTTTGATTTCAAACTCACTTGCTAAATATTTTCTTCAACAGAGGTATTTCCTCACTATCATCACCTGTAAGAACTATGACATCCACATAAACAATGAGCGTTGTAGTCTTACCACGTGATGAATGTTTCACTCACAAATAAGGTGATCTGCTTGACTCTGTTTGAAGCCATATTTAAGCATCGCTTGAGTGAATTTCTCAAACCAAGCCCTTAGAGACTGTTTAAGACCATATAATAACTTTCGAAGTAGGCATACTTTACCCTCTGTTTGATGATCCTCAAAACCAGGAGGAATGTCCATATATACCTCTTCTTCTAAGTCACTATGGAGAAAGGCATTCTTTATATCAAACTGATAAAGTGGCCAATCTAGATTAGCTACTAGAGAGAGAAGTACTCTGACTAAATTCATCTTAGCCACGGGTGCAAAGGTTTCCTGATAGTCAACGCCATATGTTTGAGTGAACCCTTTTGCCACAAGTCTAGCCTTGTAACGCTCAATAGAACCATCCGCTTTGTGTTTCACAGTATACACCTATTTGCATCCCACAGGTCGTTTGTCCTTACGTAACTCAGTCAATTCCCAAGTGTCATTCTTCCTAAGTGTTTTCATTTCCTCAATCATGGCAAGTTTCCACTCAGAGGTAGCAAGAGCATCCTGAAAATGGTTAGCAATGCTAATAGAGGAAATATTTGACACAAAAGCTATATATGAAGACGACAAATGAGAGAATGACTCAAAATTTGAGATAGGATGTTGAGTACAGGATCTCACACCCTTTCTCTTGGCAATAGGAACATCAAGATCAATAGGAGTATCAAGATCAGTGGACTAAAGAAGTTCAAAGTTACCTGGACTCTCATCAGAAGCAGGAGATGGCAGTAGGTGAACAGAAGTGGTCTTTTGTATCCAGTTAACTTTTTGTCTGTCTTTGTCCCTGACATAAACTTGCCCTTCCCTATCCTTGGTGACATTGGGTTCTGTAGTCCCAGTAAGAGGTGGTAGTGCAAGAACAACTGGTTCCACCATAGGAATCACAAGCATCACTTCACACCAAAGAGGCATCACTTCACACCAAGACTCCCCCTGAAGAGAGGACTGTGACATCGAAGAGGACAATAAATAGGACTGTGACTCAAAAAAAGTGACATCCATGGAGACAAACCACTTACGAGAAGGAGGGTGATAACACTTATACCCCTTTTGAGTAGGAGAGTTGTGAGACTATATTGTGTATATATGGCATTATGTGTATATATGGCATTGTGTATATTATGAATTAGGCAAGATTGTTGTATTTCCTTTTTCAGTCATAACATTTAAGGCTATATAAACTGATGAACTCTTTGTAAATAAACAAGTTGAATATATAGATCATTCAAAAATCCTTACATGGTATCAGAGCCTGGTTTGAAACCCAAGCTTGCAGAATCGAAACCCTAGTCGCTGTAGCGGATTTGCTTCATCTGGTTCTTCATCTAACTCAAAGGAAATAAAACAATCTTGCCTAATACGTGCCTAATTCCTAATATACACAATGCCATATATATACAATATATTCTCACGAGAGTGATTGTGGACAATACAGACACAACCAAATATTTTGGAAGGAATAAAAAACAAGGACTCGGAATCTAGAAGGACTTGAGGGGAGCTTGTTTTTGCAAGACCTAAGTAGGAAGACGATTAATAAGATGGGCAGCGGTGAGAATGTCGCCCCAGTAAGACCGAGGCACACTTGTAGAAAAGCACATGCACTGAGCCATGTCAAGAACATGACGATTCTTGCGTTCTGCCACCCCATTTTGTTAAGGGGTATTGGTGCAAGAGGTTTGATGGATAATGTCATGAGCAAAAAAATATTGCCCTAACCCAGAATCTATGTATTCACCCTTATTATCAGAATGAAAGATGTTGACAATGGCCCCAAATTGAGTACAAATCATCTTATGAAAATTGCGGAACACAGAGAAAACCTCACTCTTGTCTTTCATGAGATACACCACAAGTAATACAAGAAAAATTATCAATAAATGTCATAAACCATCGATGACCTTTCACAAACAGAACACAAGATGGGCCTTAAACATCAGAATGTATTAATGAAAAAGGAACTAAACTTTTATTAAAACTAGGAGCAAAAGAAGCTCTGTGTTGTTTCCCAAGTTGGCAAGACTCACAAAGAAACTCAGACACATTATTGTTTGCAAAAACAGATGGAAATAAATGCTTAAGTAAATAAAAAGAAGGATGTCTAAGGCGCCGATGCCACAGCCATAAATCAACTTTGGCAATAGGACTCGTGGTGGAAGAATGAGCAAGCTTGTCCGGTTGATCCAGGAAGTAGAGACCACTTTCTGCACTACCATTGCCAATCATTCTCCTCGTGACAAGGTCCTGAAAAAGATAATGATCAGGAAAAATATGTCACACCACAATTTAAATCCTTTGTAAGACGACTCAAGGATAACAGGTTAACAAAAAAATTAGGAACATGGAGAACAGAAGATAGAGGTATGGTAGGAGTGACATGGACTAACCTTTCCCAAAAATAGAAGAAACAGTACCATCTACAATCCTAACTTGTCCTGACCTGAAGAGGGCTTATAGGTAGAGAAAAGGTCAGAGGATCCAAACATATTTATTTGAGGCACCAAAATCAATAATCCAGGGCAAAGACTTATGAGAAAGGAAAACACGAGGAGAAAATGCTAAGTTACCTGAGCGGGCAAACGACGATGAAAATGTACTGAGAGCAGTAGAAGACCGGCGGTCCAGCAAGTGACGCAGAACAACCTCAAGCTCATGAGTAGTCATGCCAGAGAGACCATCAAAATCTTGGCCAACGGAAGCGGAAGTAGAATCAAGTGTATCAACGGCACTAGACTGATGAGCCCGTGGATGAGAGCCACGTCCTCTAGATTGGCCTGACTGACCTCCTCTAGAACTAGACCGATCACCTCGATCCCCAGATGGAATCCCATGAAGCTTCCAACACGTCTCACGAGTATGCCACAGCTTGCGACAGTAATCGCAAAATACAGACTCCTTGGCGGCAGACGAAGGGATGGGAATCAGGCTGAGGCCATCTCGAGGGGTAGACAGTAATGCGAAGCGATCAGTAGAGACAGGTGACATCATAGCAGACCGGCGACTCTCCTCATTCTGTACACAAGCGAATGCCTCCTGAAGTGAAGGAAGAGTGTCCATACCCAGAACCCAACTCCAAACCGAATCATACTCCACATTGAGACCTGCTAGAAACTTGAAGACCCTTTTCTGTGCAATAAACTTTCGGTACCCGACTAAATCAGCAGTGCAAACAGGCTTATAGTCCTGTAGGTAATCAAGGCGTTTCCAACCGTTGGTGAGGAAGGTAAAGTACTGAAAAACAGTCTGTTCCCCCTGAACAGAGCTCTCAATAGAGCGGCACAACTCAAATTCCTATGAAAAATTCCCTTTGTGGGAATCGGTGGCAACCACAGCATCCCAAATATCCTGGGCAGTCTCCATAGATAAGTAGCCCTCACCAATGTCTGGTACCATCGAATGAATAAGCCAACCCATAATTAAAGAGTTTGTAATCTTCATTGGTCATAACCCGAATCAGTAGTGCTGGGTGCCTGCATCCTGCCATCAACATACCCCATCTTCCCTCTGCTTTTCAAAAAAATTGTCAAACTCTACGACCATGCTAGATAGTTTTGACCATTAAATGGAGAGGTGGTGATTTTAAGGCTAGGGTTGGGGTTATTAGTCATAGTAGTAGGTATAATGGAACTATCACTCCTAGGTGTCTCAGAAGTAGTGGACACACTGGTGGAATCTGCCATGGATACTATACTACCGAACCCTCAACAAAACTAATGCCAATAACAAACCCGGAAGGTGGTGGTGGAAGAAAAGACACAACTACCACTATAAAAGCAAAGAATTAAGAACTCATAGAGTTTTTTTTTTTATACATATATTTTTAAGAGAAACGAATAAACAGAGGACTATTCAATACCTCATGACTAAGGCAATAACAAACAGAAAGACGAAAGACGACAATAGACGACAAAAAGGAAAGACAATAGCAGAGGGAGACCAGAAGCTATCAACGATACCAGAGGCCGTCGCATGAAGCCAAAGGAGGTATAGGAGGGAGACCAGAAGCTATCAACGATACCAGAGGCCGTCGCATGAAGCCAAAGGAGGTATAGGGGCTGTCGACTGGGTCGACTGTTGAAATTTCATAATAGACTTTGTTTACCGTATTGTTCTGACTTGAGAAAACGTGTTATGACTGAGCCTCACAATTCGAAGTTTGTTATGCATCCGGGTAATACGAAAATGTACAAGGATCTAAAACAGAATTTCTAGTAGCCTGGCATGAAGAAAAGCATTGTTGAATTTGTAGCCAGAAGTTTGCATTGCCAACAAGTTAAAGCTGAACATCAAAGACCCACTGGATTACTTCAGTCGCTTCCAATACCAGAATGGAAATGGGAGCACATTACCATAGACTTCATTGTGGGATTGCCTCGCTTCTCTCGAGGTATGGACTCTAACTGGGTCATAGTTGATCGTTTGACTAAATCTGCTCATTTTCTGCATGTTAAAACTTTTTACAATGCGGATAAGTTAGCTAACATTTATATGAATGAGATTGTGAGATTGCACGGTGTGCCAGTATCCATTGTATCTGACAAAGATTCTAAGTTCATATCAAGATTCTGGCAGAATTTACAACAGGCTTTGGGAACTGAACTGCGACTGAGCAGTGCCTACCACCCACAAATAGACGACCAAACAGAACGAACCAATCAAACTTTGAAAGATATGTTACGGATGTGTGTGTTGGACTTCCAAGGGAATTGGGAGACTTACCTTCCTCTGGCCGAGTTTGTATACAACAATAGTTATCATTCAAGTATTTGAATGGCTCCTTATGAAGCTTTGTATGGTAGAAAGTGCCGATCTCCGATTTGCTGGGCTGAGGTAGGTGATAGACCATTGTTGGGACCAGAACTTGTGCAAGAAATAACTAAAAAAGTGAAACTGATCCAACAACATTTGAAAACTGCACAAAGCCGCCAAAAGAGTTATGTGGACATCCAGAGAAAAGACAGAGAGTACAAGGTCGGTGACTATGTATTTATAAAAGTAACTCCAATGAGAGGTCAAACACGATTTGGGGTGAAAGGAAAACTAGCACCAAGATACATTGGCCTGTATGAAGTCTTAGAGAAAATCAACTCAATAACATACCGAGTGGCCTTACCTCCGATTATGGAGAATATGCACAACGTTTTTCATGTTTCAATGCTTCGGGATTATTTGAGAGATCCATTGCACGTTATTGAGCCGACACACGTACTTTTGAAGGAAGATTACACATATAAAGCACGGCTAATCCAAATTGTTAACCAAAGAATCAAAAGATTAAGAAATGAGGAAATTCCGTTGGTGAAAGTTGATTGGCAGGATCATGGTGGAACCTATGCGACATGGGAAATAGAAGAATATATGATGAAGAGATACCCTGAGTTGTTTCCTTTGGACCCAGTATTCTTCAAAAACGAAGGTACTTCGAGTTTGGAGGACCAAACTCTTTAAGGGAAGAAGACTGTAACAACCCCGACCTCTGATTATCTGATAAACTATGATTAAGTATGCCTAATAAGTAATTAAGATGAAATCCTGAGTTAATTACATGTGCATTGCATTATTTGTGTTTATATCTGTCTGCTGTGGGAATATTTGTTTGTGTTTCTGTTTTGTTTTACGAATTGAAGGCCTTATAGCATCCGATCAAGAAATTGGCTTGATTTCTGTGTTAGTTAGAATTTTTAGAATTTTATGGTAGGTTTAATTGAAATTCGATTCGGAACGAAATAATTGGAATAATTAATGCTCATTTGTTTAACGGTAAGCCAAATTAATTAACTTCCCTAATTAACCCTATCTAAGGCAATTGCTGACTTAAGGGCCATCACTTACAACCTCAATTCTCATCTTTTTGAGTTCAAACGTGGGAGAGAGAGAGAGAGAGAGAGAGAAGAATCGAGTCTAAGCTAGAGAATTAGAAAGACATGGAAGGGAAATTAAAGAATTAATTTGTGAGCTCAAACTTCTACACATCTAGGCCATAATTGAGCACCTAAGGTAAGAAATCAAATCCTTAGTTGTGTAATTAAGTTTTTAGCGATCCCGATTTCGATTGGGCCGATCGGGGGTCGAGCTACCCGGTCAGCTCACGGGGGTCCAGGGAGCAGCGCCCCTTGGCGGGTCCTAGGGCAGCGCCCTGGCGGAGTTGAGGGGCAACGCCCCCAAAACAAAAATGCAAAATGCATTCGAAGTTGCTTGTCCGCTTGAGCGGAGAATGTTTGGTTTCAAAAATGACCTGTCTGTAAAAGTACTGGGTTAGTGTATTTGATGCTCGAGCGGGGCATTCCACGCTTGAGCGGACCATGCTATATCAGTTCGTGAATCTGATATTTCAGATCACTTTTTCAGTCCTCTCTCTCTCTAAAACTCTCCAGAATTCCAGATCGGGAGCTTCTCTCTCTAGAAGTCATCTTCTCTCTTTGATTTCTCCAAATCCATTGGGATTTAGACCTAAGTTCTTCACCAAAGTTGGTTATCATCTCGAGGGCTTCATTGTGTACGGTGAAGATCGAGTTTCGACACCGTTGATTTTGGGGGTTCCATCTCATTTCTTCTTCAAAACTTGAGGTAGGGATTTTCTTAGAGTTATATATATGTTTTTGCAAGATCTAGATGATTTTCGAAATCAACCTTTGATTAGCTTTGAGAAATTGATTGTTGATTTTAAGAAGATGAGTGATTTTGAAAGAGGGTGTAATTTCTTTTCCTTTTAAAATAGAAATTGAAGTTTTGAACCATATTGATTGAAGAAAGATGATTTTGGGGAGATTCTTCTAAATATTTTGGAGATGAATGGTTTTGGTAAGAAAACCTAAAAATTGGGTCTTTTCTTTGAAAGATGTTGAAAATCCTTGGAAGATGTTGTCATATTTATTGTGTACCAAAATAAATGGATGTTTTGAAAATTGTTTTTTGATATAAAAATAACGAATTTTGTGAAAAAAATGAGAAATGTTGTTTATTTTGGAAATTGTTGTCAAAATGTTGATTTAGTCTTGAATTGACTAAATTGTTGAGATTGCTCAAAATATGGGAATTACGTTATTCTCTTGAATGAATTGGATATAAAAGTATATATATATATTCATTTTGTGGAATTGTGTTAAAAAGAGGATTGGGAATTTTGATCACAATGGTATATTGTGTGGAACAATTGAATATGGAAGAAATGTTGCATTGCATTATTAAGCATACATTGGCATTTCAATTTATTGGACTATGTTAAGCTTTGGAAATTTGCATTG